CACACACACACACACACATAACTTCCTCGGAAACTGGCGCAAAGTATAAATAATAAAATAATAAGAAGCTGCTGTTGTTGTTTTGCCTACATAATAAATAACGAAGAACATGCAGATGAAAATAAATAAACACTAGTCATGCTTCCATCCACCTATTTTTATGCGCATTTTGGAATATCACATAAAAAAACGGTGGATGGAAAAGATGCGCATAAATTGTAAAAAATGTGCATAAAAAACGTATGCACACAATTGAGAAGGATAAACTTTTCATCCGATAAGAAAAAATGCGCATAAACTATAATGTAAACACATTTACCAAATAAATTCCACGATGCACATCAAAAAGGTCATGTGAGTTTGCGCTGTGAGACGGGATAACTTGCCTAGCAGCGGACCGATCTCGTTCACAGCATCTGAAACGTTGTTCTGAAAAGCCTGAGTAAAGTCTGTCGTCAAAGTATTTCTGTATAATTGTCTTAAACGACTGCGTTCCCAAACAGCAGCATCCGCCTCTGAAAGCAGTGACAGCATTTATTGTGTTTCGTCTGCTCGCTCTGAGGCGCAAGTCATTCATCATATATGAAAATTATTATATTCAGTGGCTTCTCCTACTTTTCTTAGTGATATTTAGTGCCAGTTTATCAGGAAGTGACGATTTGGTTCTCTTTGACTCGTTGGATGGAAACGGTGCTTATTCACAAATGTTTTATGCGATATTCCAGTTTTGTGCTTAAGTTTAATTCGAAGATTTAATTCTGACTGTCATGTAGGGCTGGGCGATGAATCGATAACTATAATTATCGCAATATAATTTTCCTTGATAAAAAGATATGAAGAGTTTGATAAATGTTCAATATAATGTTTATGCACCAAAAGCGGATTATACTAAATGTTTTTAGACTACTGTTTTTCCACCAAATTCCACTCATTCTCTACTATAGGAGAGGAAGAATTGTAAAAACTTGTTAAATCGTCTAAACCAACATGTATGTTAGATCCTATTCCATCTAAGCTCCTAAAAGAGGTGCTTCCAGAAGTCATAGATCCTCTTCTGACTATTATTAATTCGT